TAAATAAATAAAAAAGTTATCTGGGAGGAGAGGGTGTGTGGGGGTGTGTGTGTGGGGGTGTGTGGGGGGGGTAGTTATCTGGACTAAGCAGAGACTGATCTAAATATTTTGTTGTTCTGGGAAAGATGAGCGTTTGGATCCATACTCTTGTTTTCAGACACACACTCTGTGCCGAAAACACACTAAAATAACGTATAAATATCTACACCATGGCTGTCAGACTCTAATTCACACTGGGCCAAACTGAATATTTGTTGAAAAATTGACTCTAATTGTTCATGTTTTCTCTTCTCTCCAGATCTGTAATGTAGGTTTTTTCTTTATATAGAAACCAACTTTAGTTTTGCCTAAACATTGAATCTACAACAACCAAAGTTAATATTATAAAGACATTAAAAATTAAATTTGAAAAAAAAAACACAGATCAGTATTTGTTGTCTCTTTATCTGCAGTCTTTCCAGTTCCTTTTAAATGTAAATATTTTTTTTCACAGACCAACAACAAAAACAAAATGTATTTGCTATAACATAGCAAATACTACAAATCCTGCCAGTATATGGGGGCTGTATAATGGTGGGCTAACTCTAGTACACATTTGATATGATCTCAGGGGTCCAAATATAATTAAACTGTGGGCCAGATTTGGCCCCCGGGCCTCGCGTGTGATCTACACAGTACAGTTAAAAAAACAATATTAAATACATTTTATATATATATGTAAATAAATCTGCAGCTCGACTGAAAAGGTTTGGTTCTTTGTTTAGTTGTTTGTCGTCATTTAAGATTTTTAATTTTTTGCCTATTTAATTTCAGATCGAGAAATATCTCCGGCTCACCAGGACCCAAAGTGCCAAAAAAAGTCCACTTCATCAAGAGTATGCGACAGTACGATACCAGAGGCTCCAGGTGAGTCTGATGATGGTTGATTTACATTAAACAAATACACTGTCACACAGAGAAATGGAGACGACAAACTGTTTTACACAGTTTTACATTTCCCTCTCAGAGAGATAAAAATATAAAACAAAGTATTTCACACTGAGGAGAGTCTGTGTCCCGGCTGTGAGAATAAGCTGCTTAACTGTGTGAGGCTGAGTTTGGCCTGCAGGTGAACAAACGGCAGTATAGCTGCTGATCTCAGATCACTGCGGTGAATTAAATACAGTAACACCGACACTGGAAGGATGTACTGTGAGGTACATAGTACACATAAAATAAAAGGAGGAAATATTAGACGAAAAATGAAAAAAAAAAAATGGATTGCAGGCCATGGAAAGGGACACAGACTCATGGACAGCTGTACCTCACCACCACCCAGCATGACTTATTATTCAGCCAAAGCACAGAGCTTTTTTCACACATTTTACTATTGTACTTTATATGAAAAATACCTTAAATTAAATACATATAAAAATATATATTTACATATATTTAAATATATATTTACATATATCTATTTAAATATATATTTAAATACATAAATATATTTTTAGAATATATAAATAAATATATATCCATATATATATATAGAAATATACAAATGGCCCAGGATAGCTGAAAAAAAACATTTGTTGTTGAGAAATATATTTCTGTATTGACTGTGTTGAATCCCAGTGTTTGTATTCATGTGTTCACTCACTTCCGTAACTCATTCTCAACGTGAACAGTATGGTGTCATCTGCATATCCACCCTCCAGATCACTGTGGTGTCATGTGTTCCGTGGTGGACGTAGCCGTCAGGGAGATTCCAGTTGTTGTCGTCCTGGTTTGTTTGAGGCAAACAGTTTGTGTTTGAAGCGAACGCTGAGGTTTTATTTTTAAGCTGATTTTTGTCAGTCAGTCTCTGTTAAAGTGGTGTTTTATCTCAGGGAGTTTAATGAAGTGGTCTAATAGTGGTGAGGGTTTGAGGTTTGAACGCCAGCATAAAAAAAACCCCTACCAGTGTGTATGGTGTTGGTCAGTGTTGTGTTGACTGATGGGGTCAAAACAAAGAGGAAGTTCACAGAGTTGGTCTGAAGAAAGAACTGAAGAGAGAGTCAGTCAAAACCCCTACCAGAACCAGAACAGAGTCAGAACAGAGTCGATCCAGATTCAGAGTCCGAAACAGAATCAGTCCAAAGGTGGTCCAGAATCAGTCTAGAGTTGGTCCAGAATCATTCCAAAATTGGTCCAGAATCAGTTCAGGGTTGGTCCAGATTCGGAACAGAGTCGATCCAGATTCAGTCAAGTCAGTAAAGATAACTCTTTTTATTTAAATTTTCCTCCTGATCATCGTCCTCTGTTATTTGTCAGGATGTTGTTGTCGTAGTTGTGGTCGTTGTGGTCAGTTGTCCTGATGACCTGTCAGTGATGGACAGACCTGACTCTGTAACTGATTCTGCTGCGACTGCAGCCTCAGTGTCACGAGCCTGATGTTGTTCAGAGCAGCTGTAGCTGTAGAGTTGCCGCCTGTCCACTGACACACCGTCTGTTCTGTCTGTCCTGTCTGTCCTGTCTGCCTGTCCTGCAGGATCATGCTGATCTGTGCCAAGAGGTCTCTCTATGCTGCCTTTTCAGTGCTGCCCTATGGAGAGAGTGTTCCACCCAGGTACAGAGACGGCACCGGGCCCTGCAGAGAGCACAGGCCACTCACTCACTCACTCACTCCCATGTTTTCATCATCATCATCATCCTCATCCTCCATGCTCTGTGTTACCACCGTAGCGTAGCACGTGGCGTGGGCGTCAAGCTGAATCGATGCCTTTGTTTACAGTGATGTCAAGCTGGAGACTCAGAGACAGAGGCTGTCGTCCGTGGTGGCTGTGGACGCTTACCCTTCACTGGAAGGTGTGGAGCTGAGCGCCGACGGAAAGGTGAATGTCGACCACACTGAGCCCCCGTACGACCGAAGACTTTTTAGTCCTTCAGCTTTTCATTTTGGTCAGGAAAGAAATTGTATTTCTTTCAAGCAGTGGCTGCTCTTTGATTGTTAGTGTAGAACAACATGAATAATATTTTGAAAATAAAAATATCGTAAAAAACATTATAAAAAATATATTATATTGAATATTTGCCAATATGTCAATATTGTCCAAGAGATACCGAAAAAATATATTATATTGAATATTTGCCGATATTGTCCAAGAGATACCAATGTACATTTGTTAATATTTATTTCTTTATCAGTACAAACCACTGTATGAGTTTCTGGCACCAACACCCTGAGAAATAATCCCCTAATTATTCAAATAGATTATTAAAATGAGCTACAACGCTGCCATCTAGTGGCTTTCACTCATACACAGCCGTTTATCTCCAAAACTAAAATTCTGTGTTTAACGTGGCCGTCTCTGGTTCTCCGTTTGTTTCTCCTCAGACCGTGTCTTATGCTCAGTTTCTCTTCCCGACCAACGCCTTGGTGCAGCCGAAGAACGGCGCTGCGCCAGAGAGCAGCACGGCTCAGACGCCGCAGTCACGTTTCCGTAGCAACGGGCAGAGGAACCTCACTGTGGCGAATTTGAACAACAGCGTTGCACCGGAACCAAGTATGTCTCACTGTGGAGGGTCTGTCTGTCAGTCTGTCTGTTAGTCTGTCTGTCTGTCAGTCAGTCTGTCTGTCAGTCAGTCAGTCTGTCTGTCAGTCTGTCTGTCTGTCTGTCTGTCTGTCAGTCTGTCTGTCTGTCAGTCTGTCAGTCTGTGTCAGTCTATCAGTCAGTCAGTCAGTCAGTCAGTCTGTCAGTCAGTCAGTCTGTTGTTCATCTGTGTACTCTCTATTGTTCTCCAGATGTAGAAGAGGTGGCAGACTACGACCCCTACCTCCTCAGCGACCCCCAGTGGCCGTGTGGCAGACACAAGAGAGTTCTGATTTTTGCATCATATGTGGTGAGGAGTTGGATTTATGTTTTAACTACCACACCCCCACTTCCCTTTATAGATGGAACTGTTTTGACCCCCCCCCGCATGTCAACCCACTTAAGGCTAATGTTTCAAAACTCCATTACACTTTATTTCAACAGTGTAATTTAAACCCGACAGCTGGTTTTGTTGCCTCGTTGATTGTTCTGTTGTTGGTTCTGACTTCGCTGCAGACGACGGTCATCGAGTACGTGAAACCATGTGACCTGAAGAAGGACATGAACGACACGTTCAAGGAGAAGTTTCCTCACATCAAGCTGACGCTGAGCAAGATCAGAAGGTACGAATATTAGATTTAACGACCCCCTCCCTTACGCCGCCCCCTGGAGGTCATTTTGAGAGTCCATTTTGAATTTCCCCTTTTTGCCTCCCCCCAGCCTGAAGAGAGAGATGAGGGTGGTGAGCGAGGAGTGTGGACTTCAGCCCGTCACCACAGCGATGGCGTTTGTTTACTTTGAGAAGCTGGTGCTGCAGGGCCGCCTCAACAAGCAGAACAGGAAGCTGGTGGCGGCGGCGTGCGTGCTGCTGGCTGCGAAGATCAGCAGCGATCTGAGGAAACCTGAAGTGAAACAGCTGATTGATGTGAGTACATTAACACACACACACACACACACACACATATATATAAAGGGATCGTACTGATGGACTTAGAAAAGAAGCACAGGTTGAATTATGTCAGAAAAACCAAACCTTAGGCAGTGGGAAAAAAAAAAATCAGTCGTCAGTTTTATTTAGTCAACACTGTCTGTTTATTGTTACTCAGTTTCTGCTGAATCTGCTGTTTAAAACCATGAAGGACACGTGGGCTGAGCAATAACTTTAGGAAATTATTGTCAGAAAATAACTCCCTTACTTTACTATATGCTGATGTTTTATATATATATATATACACATATATACACATATATACACATATATACACATATATATATATATACACACACATGTGTATATATATACACATATATACACATATATATATATACACACACATGTGTATATATATGCACATATATACATATATACACACATGTGTATATATATACACATGTGTGTGTATATATATATATATGTGTATATATGTGTATATATATACACATGTGTGTATATATGTATATATGTGCATATATATATATATATATAAAACACTTTTTATTTTAAAATTGCCTCAATCAACCAAAACTTATCACGACCCTCCTGCAGTACCTCTGCAGACCACCAGGGTTCAAGACCTCTAATCTGTTATCAATAAAAGACCCACCTTATTCCATGAGTGGTCATATTAATAAAAACATTTAACTTCTTATTGACAACTCCCCCTTGTGGCATCCCACCTCACTGCATCTGTTTCTCCAACATCATTTTAACGTTTCATCGCGCCCTCCCGCTGCGTTCTCCCACCTGGACGAGCAGAAGCTGGAGGAGCGTTTCCGTATCAACCGACGGGAGTTGATTCCTCTGGAGTTTCCTGTTCTCGTTGCCTTGGAGATGGGACTGTACCTCCCTGAGAACAAGGTCATGCCTCACTACCGCAGGCTGGTGCAGCAGGGTTAGAGGTGTCAGGGGTCACACCAGCACCTGTACGTGTGTGTGTGTTTCTATTTATTTCCCTTTAAACCTGTCTGTGTGTGTGTGTCTGTGTGTTTCTATTTATTTCCCTTTAGTCTGAGTTGATTCACTCAGAAGAAGCTGTTTTTTTCTCTCTCACTGGTTTGTATTTAAGACTGTGTGACGACACCATCATCAGTGTGTGTCCAGTGTTTCCCCCCGTGTGTGAAACAGCGCCCCTCTTAATGTTATGTAGTTGAAAAGATGGTACTGCACTCACATGAGTGGCATTTTAATGGGAAACTGGCGTGTGTGTCTCCACGTGTGTGTGTCGTGTGCCGTTTCCATGGTGACCCAGTGTGAGCTCTACGTTAGAGACGTTCGTGGTGACCTGTATTTCCGCTCCGTGGCAGTGTTTTCTTCTGTCCGTTTTTCTGTGACACTCCTCGCCGGCACCTTTTTTCTAGCAAAGAAGAACAGCTCTGTTTTTGTACACGCCTTTTTATCAAGCCACTGTGACACGGGAGCATTTTAGCTGTTTAGCCCGCACCGGACTACTGACGTCTGATTGGAGGAGATCTTACGAATGTATTTGTACTGTAACGTCACGCATGTTGATGTATTTATTTTGTTGTCGAACGGAGAATTATATTCACGAGGCAGCTGTGTGTTCATGGTTGGAAACTGTGCTAAAATACTTTGACAGTTTTAATATATTCATAAATATATACTGTGGCTGTGTCTGAGTCAGAGAAACAGCAGGCGGATTTTTTTTCATGTCATTTTTCAGGGATTTCTTTTTTAAATGCACTGAGACGTAAGTCTTTGTCCTGCTGGAGCTCACGCTTTATGTCCTGTAATCATTTGGGTTTTTTTAATCATAACTTATGTTAAACATTTGGAGCAGTTTTACACCTGGTTTTGTTCGAGTGAGTAACTGTACAGTGTTGGAGTCGACTTTCTAACGTTGACTCCAGGATTTTGTGCCATTGTTGTCGACACCGACCGAATGAAAGAAGTGCCTGAAACCACGGTGACGTTGACGTAGTCCTGCCGTTCGTGTGTTTTTCACCTTCACGTTACTGTTTTATGCAGCTGTTGAAAATCTTTAACAAAGTTTTGTTTTGTTTACAAAAGTTAAAACGGAGGATTTCTGCAGATTTTAACATGTAGCGCTGTTGTTCCTGGACACTGAGAATAAAACCTGAGTTTTTGGTTAAACATTGACTGAATTCTTCCACCGTCACTTGGTTTTTGAATTTTGCTTTGACTGAGATACGGTTTTACATACGAGTTACGTACGTAAAAAAACCTGTGGTTCCTCTGGGTATCGAACCCCAGACTCTTTGCTTCTGAGGCAAGCATGCTAACCGCTACACTATATAACCACGATAGTTAGGCTATCTGGTGTTCGACAGTTAGCCATCTCTGTATTTTCGCTCCCAAGTTTGTTTACAGTTTGAGAGTTTTGTACGCACCATTTTGTTTTACCATTTTTTCTGAACTTCCTGTTTAATGTTAGTTAGTGCCACATACAGGCCTGGCATATGTACTACAGGGACAGGATTTCTCTTGTGATGCTTAAACAAGACGCTGTGAAACCCTCTTTGTTTACATAGTAAACCTTGGATTTTACAAATATATTTTCAGAGAATGAAAAGAGTTTTTTTTCTAACTTTCTAACTCGTCAGTCACTGGTAGAGTAGCGCAATTGAATAATTTAAATTTTTTAAATTTAAAATGTATTTAAATTCTCCAGATAAATGTTGACGCGTAGATGAAATGAACAAACGAGACGAGTTTGTTTCTCGACACTTTACTCTTGGTGTTAGCGAAGCCGTCATGCAACGAGGGAGCGTTTCGTTAAATCATTTTAAATTAAAAATACCACTGAACGGGGTGAACGGCTAGGAGGAATTCTCACGCTGTTTAACTTTAAATACTACAATAATAAAACCAATGTAACGGCGCTTAAATAAATATAAACATTTTTGTAAATAATCCATACGTCTCAGTCCAAGCTCATGTCTTCGTCGTCTTTCCTGTCCTTGGAGTCGCCGTCCTCCTGCTCCGGCTTTGTCTTAGTCTCCATGGCTTTGGCAAAGGCCTCCACGTCTGAAAGGCAAAAGTCTTTAATTACCAAAAAATATATTTCGTATCACTTCTTACACGCACACACACACACATATATATATACATAAACTATATCCCCTCCACTCGCCCACACCGCACCAACAAAATGTCTCATTTTATGCACTGTTTTCTTAGTGTAAAAACCTCGACCTGTTTAGTTGAACACAACGCCTACATACTCTCAGGAATTCAAGAAAGACACAAAATCTTCAACAGCTCTGAGTCTCTCCACTTAATGTTAGATTTTAGATCCGTTTGGTGGAGGAGTGGTTATACACAATTTGTTTGCGATAAATATTTTTGTTTGAAATTCAACAAAAAAAAAAGTCTTGAACTTTATATTTTCAAATTATTCGGCTGATAAATCAACTTTTCAAAAGTCAGTAAAGAAAGGTGAACACTCACCTCCTTTGTTGGCCGCGTCCACGGCCTCGGCGGGCAAACCAAACTGGTTCAGTAGCGGACCCAGCTGTCCAGACGCCAGAGCGCTGCTGAACAAACTCATGGCCTGCAGAGACAAAAACACAGTTAGAGAAGCAGGAAAGGCCACAGGATGGCGCTGTAGGACAGAACAACACCAGTGTGGAGTGAGTGAAGTTCTGGTTTTAAGTGAACACAGAACGTTTGTCTCCACGTGATCCCCGGTCCTCGGGACAGAGACGTGGGACGTCAAAGCTGCGACCAGAGAATGTCTGTGTCAGAGGTCGAGTCTTTAAAACACAGAACTGTTTCAGTAGAACTGTTGAACCACTGCTTTAGAAATTCACGTCAAAGAAGGAATGAAATGAATAAATTGGAATGATTTTTTTTTTTTAATTATAAACCACAAAAATACTGTTTTCACCAACAGTTCATATCTGAGGTTTATTTGCCTTTTCATATTTATTTTCTTGTGTCCTCTTGTTTTGAAGGTTGTTACATTTACGTAAAAAAATGCAAAAACGTTGAAGGTTGTTACATTTACGTAAAAAATTAATATTTAAAAACTGATGTGAGGTTAGGTTGAAGGTTAGCAGGATTAACTTGGATTAACTTGGATTAACTTGGATTAACCAAGGCCAAGAGGAGAACATATAATATATTTCATAAATCTCTTGAAAATAAGTTTTACGTCAGGAAACACCAACACTAGGAGAGTTTGTTTTGGTGAGTGATTTGTGATTTGAACATTGTAGCTGTGGTTTAATCAGGGCTGCAACGGTGAGAGCACCCTGTAGCCACATGGTGGCAGTATAGCACCTGATGTATGGCGTTTTCACCTCCTCACACAGTGGTGTAGGAAACACAGGATTTCATTCACTTTGGTCTAATGACTGAACTCAGTTCCCAGAAACCCTCAGAATAATCAAGCTGTAGTATATGAATGAATTAATGAATGTAAAGCCCCCCCTGCAGGAGAAAAGTGGAGGTTCATTTTTTTCGTGTACTTCTACTTTAACTGAGGCCTCAGGTTTATTTTTTTTAGGGTTTTTTTCAGTGTAAAAGTGAGTGTTAAGCTCGGGCAGAGAGTTGAGCGTCACCTGCTGGAACTGCGGTGAACTGATCGTGTTGTGAAGCTCTTCTGAACTCTGAGGTAAAGACTCTCCGGAGGGAAGGTAGGGGATGAGTCTCTGCTGCACCTCAGGGTCGGCCAGGAGGGGCGCCATGACCTCAGGGGTCAGGACACTGGCCAGGTCCACTGTGAATGACACGGAAACCGTTTAACATCAGAAACAACACAAAGACGTTTAATCTGTTAGCGTTGGTATTTAGCAGGCCCCCCCTGGCCCCCTCCCACCCCCCCCCAACAGGGATGAGGTGGGTTTTCACCATGGGTTTTCTGCATGGCAGGTAGAGCCAAACCATTTACACTATGACTCCATAAATTGCAGTGAAAAAATTCTGTAATAAAGCCAAGAGAATGGTGCCTCCAGTGGTTGAGCAGTGTAAATATCATTCTTTTTTTTCTAATTTTATTAAATATACGTCTCGTTGTTTCAGCTTTTGTCAAGTCTTTTTGCTGCTGCTGTATCGATAAAGTTGTGTTTAGCGTAGCGTAGCCTAGCCTAGCCTAGCCTAGCCCACTGGTGCCGCGCTCACCTCCCTGGCTGCTGGTCGGCACGTTCATGGTGGCCAGGATGCTCTGCAGGTCTCTCAGCTGGATGGGTTGTGCCGGGTTGGCCGCTGCTCCTGCCGTCAGGGAGGTCACAGTGGGAGGGGGGGAGGAGGAGGTGGTGGGTGTGGGCGTGGGCGAGGCTGCCGTCGTGGCAACGGGAGTGATGGGAGTGGTCGGCACCTGGGAGGTGCTGAGGCGGCTGGTAGCAAAGGTAGAGGTGGGGGTGACAGCTGTGGAAGGACTGAGGGGGGAGGAAGAGGGAGAGGAGGAGAGAGAGGAGGAGGAAGAGGGAGAGAGAGAGGAGGAGGGGGAGAAACAAAGTCAGCTGTCGGTTCTGTTTAATATGTGAAGATCAAGACTGTGGTGAAGCTCTGAGTTTGAACTGACGTCTAACTGACGACTAACTGACGTCTAACTGACGACTAACTGACGTCTAACTGACGACTAACTGACGTCTAACTGACGACTAACTGACGTCTAACTGACGACTAACTGACGTCTAACTGACGACTAACTGACGTCTAACTGACGACTAACTGACGTCTAACTGACGACTAACTGACGTCTAACTGACGACTAACTGACGTCTAACTGACGACTAACTGACGTCTAACTGACGACTAACTGACGTCTAACTGACGACTAACTGACGTCTAACTGACGACTAACTGACGTCTAACTGACGACTAACTGACGTCTAACTGACGACTAACTGACGTCTAACCCCATGCCCCCTGCCCCTCCCCTTCCTTTCCCCCTCCCTCCCTCCATGACAATGTAAATATAATTGTACAAAAAGATACAAAAATAGAAAGATATCAGTTATCATGAGTAAAAAACACTAAGAAAAAAAATTGTATTTTTTTTTATTTTTAATCATAAAATATATTTTTATAAAAAAATCCTTACAATAGTTTATAAAATAATAATAATAATTATTTGAATTATATTGATTCCATACTGGGGAAATTGTTCCATTAACAACAGGTCTGTTGCAACAGGCTGCCACTTGGTGGCGCCAATTATGTAGTTCCTCAAACCCAGGACCTTCTGCGTGTAAAGCAGCTGTGTAAGCCGACATGATAACTGCTAGATTATAGAACCATATCGTTAGAATCCAGTTTTTTTGTTTATTAGACGGTCGTAGTGGTTAGTTCTCTTGCCTAAAAGCAATGCAATCAGTTTGTTGGTTCAATTCCCAGTTCTTTCAGTAATAAGTGAGGATGTGTGAGAGGTTCCCCCGAGACCCTAATCCTGAAAGGGTTACGTGTTAGAAGATCACCACGTGGAGCTGCTGCTGCCGCTGCTGCTGCTGCTGCTGCTGCTGCTGCCACTCCCCAGGAGGTTGGCCAGACCTGGACCCGCCAGGGTACCAAGACCACCTGATGACCAGGGAACACATGTTTGAACCACATACGTGTTCGCCTCCCAAGATCAAATACCAATCACACCAACGGCTGTCCGTACCGATGCCGCCCAGTCCAGTTGGTCCGATGAGCTGCATCAGCTGGTTGTGACTCATGTTACCCAGAAGGCTTTGCAGGCCACCCTCGCCTTAACAACAACAACAACAACAAAGTCTGAAATCCACCGACTCCACCAAGATTCATTTTCATACTTTTCTTGACTTTTTTTCCCAGATGAATATTTCAATCATTCAAATCAGACACAAACAGAAACTGCAGTTTCACCTCCCAGGGCTGAAAGGTCATGACCTCCACTGCTGCCACTGCCCAGAGCTCCAGGGATCGGAGGGTTGTTCAGATACTCGTTGACTTTGCGACAGAACTCCTCGTCTTTGTCCGTCTTTGGTTCCTGGGATCACGGAAGAAACGAGTCTCTCAACAAATGAAGTGAAATAATGACGTCATGTAATGAGGTGATCTGGAAAGACACTGCTCGTCAGCATCACCTTCAGGCTGTTGATCCTCATTACAACTACATCATGAGACTAAAGCTGGGACTGTTGTGTGTGTGGTACAACACCTGCATCCAGAAGAAAAGCCTTTTGGACCCGGCCTTGAACTTCAGCACGTAGACCCGTCCGGTGGTGCACTGGTTCACCCGTTTGAACTCGCAGTCATCAGGGAAGATGATCAGATCCTGAAGAGAGGAGGAACATTTTTGACCTCTGAGAAAAAAAAAGACGTTCAACACCAAACCAGGAGAAACCAGTGGGCGTCACCTACGTCGTCCACGTTCCCGGTTGTCCGATCCTTCCAGCAGAAGTGGATGAGCGAGTCGTCCGTCTGCTGGATGTACACCTGACCTTTGCGTTTGTCAGGGGTCACGGTGCTGCCCTTCATGGTCATCTTACCCGCCCGGAACTCCACCAGGTACTTGATGGAGGAGCCGCGAGACCCAGACACCAGGCTGGGGAACAAAGCTCCAGAGGCCATGACGCAGGAGACGGAGACACTGATGGAGGAGGAGGAGGACTGAGGAAGACCAGCATGGAGCAGCTGCACCAGGAGGAGGAGGAGAAGAAGATGGGAAATTTAGGCTACGAGCTAATATTACTGCCACTACTGTTACCAGTATTGCTAATGTTTTGGCTACTACTAGTAGTACTGCTGCTACTGCTAATACTACTACTACTACAAAAGTCGTAGTTCTACTACTGCTATAACTTCTGCTGGTGTTACTACGTCTGTAACCAGAGCCGGCAACTAGTAATTTTGTTTCTACTACTACTACTACTACTACTAGTACTGCTAGTAGTAGTACTGCTTGAGCTACTGCTGCTGCTACAACTTATTCTACTACTATTAGCTACAGCTTCGGCTACGACCTCTGCTACTTCTACTGCAACTACCTTGCTATTGCTTCTACTGCTACTTGTGGTAATACTACTACTACTACTAATGTTACAGCTACTACTATTACCGATATTACATCCAGTGCCATTATTGCTGCTGATAGTACTTTTGCTACCGCTACTAATAGTTACTACTACTACTAGTTCTTCTTATTTTTAAATATGGACCCGCCCCCCATTTGGTGCTAACACCAAGGCCAGAACATGAAGAGAATTGGCTCCTTAAAATTGTATTATATTCTCAATACCTCCTCCGAAACACTAGAGGGAGCCCAAGTACCACCAGTGTCACCGTACACACACACACAGCATCGTTTGAATCCATTAATTATGGTTAATTTGAAACAGCCGTAAATCACCTGTACAGACAATCAACCAGTGAAAAATACAGATAATGTAGAAAAAAATAAGAAAAGAAAACAAACGATAAAACTTTAAATCTACGTAACAATACAATAAAAACCCAAAGAATCCAAATCAACCTGGGCCAAAAGCCGGTGTTTTAATGCGAACGTTATGGAGAAAATGTAAATTAAACATATTTATTTTTACTGCCGGCAGCTGGTTTTAATGCGAACGTTATGGAGAAAATAGTAAATTAAACATATTTATTTTTACAGCTAAAATGACGGCGGTAAAACGACGTCGCAGGTTTAAAGGTTTCATCCAAACCTAAAACAGAGGACGATGTCAACAGATATCGGTGCATCGTGAACGAAGTGACGGCAGACACTGGTGACTGTGCGTCTGCAGCTGCCGCGGGCCTTTGGCCTCATTTTAACGCTATTTCTTAAACATGACGCCCGCGGCCGCACGTGTACGAATAACACGCGACAACTAAACACGGCTACGATGTGGAGCCGACAACCGCAGAACGTAGGAAATAAAACGGTTTTATTTATTTTTTACTCACAGTTCTCTCTGAATGAACGTCTAGCGGCAGAAGGCTCGAACACCAGCAGACGACTCTGGTTGGTCGGAGAGTGTGTCAGTCGAAGGGCTTCAATCGCGCATGCTCCGAGCAGGAGACACAATACCACGTGATTGCAATACAGAACGCTCACTTATAATAATAATAATAATAATAATAATGACCTTCATGGTTCTGTTTTACTACAAAATTAGTTTAAATAATTAATATAATTAAAATATTTAATTAGAAAACGTATATAATTTAACAATACATATTAGTATATGTGCATATATATCTATATATAAAATACTACACAATTAATTTGCATATCTGTATATGTACACATATTGTATGTATGTATATAGTATATATATTTACATGTATGTATATATTTATATATTCATGTATATATTAATATATTGCACATATGTATGTAGATATATGTATGTATCAATACATACATATATGTAAATATATATAAAAAAAGTACAGCTTACTGGTTTTAAAAAAACAATTAAACTTGTAACTTACTGCACTTTAACATGATTTATTTTTTTTAAATCCACTTTGTATCCATAAGGTGAGGAGTGGTTTACAGTACAGACGGCAGGACAGACAGGTGTACATCGGATGTAAACATTTTTGAAATGCACGAGTGTAGATGGACAACAGCATTAGGTACAGGTGCTCAACCGCTGGTCTGAGTCCGTGTCTGTGAACGTACGTCAATCACAAAGTGCTTCGTATTTAGGTCGTAAGAGCAGCTGAAGGATGGGATGAGGTCAGACGGGGGGAGCAGTGGGGGTGTGCAGTTTACTGCAGTATGGTGTTGTGCTTAGAAACCCAACTATATGTGCAGTACTTGTTTGTACACAGTTACTTCTGTCTCTGAGGGAAGTCACGGTTCTCTACGTTTTCACCAGTGGAAAACAGTCTGACCAGGTTGCATAGTATCATGACGTCACTGCAGTTCTGACTCCAAACACTACACTGTGTCTGACCTCTGACCTCTGACCTCTCTCTGTACGTATGGCTTTAATAAGGAGTTTTTAAAACATGGCTTTTATTCAAACGGCTTTAAGTATTTTGTGCTTTTTTTGTCGCCCTTTTCTGTACAGTACAACGGTCACTGCAAAAAAACTGTTATTTTCATTTCATACATTTGTTAGTGTCAAATTCTAGCTCACTGTAGCACAAATCTTAGCTCAAGGTTAACCATATTCTCCACACACACACATATTATATATATATATATATACATACATATATATACAGTACATACATTAATACATATATGTGTATATATTTTTAAATACATATATGTTATATATGTGTGTATATATATACACAAATATAATATATACATATGTATAAATATATATGTATATATATATACATATATGTATGTATATTTATACATATATATTGTTGAAACCCATATGCCTTGAAACAAAGTGTAAAGCTCTCACAACTCTCACATTTATTATACACGTCTCTAAACACTGGTGTGTGACGATGTATCAGGTGTGTTACATCACAACAAATATTAAAACTAATATAATTACAGGCTACATATAAAAAAATAGTTGTGAATTTCCCCTGATATCTGGATGACACTTTACAAAAGTCTAGAGGGAAGATCAGATAACCGAGTACCTAAACTGTAGTACGGCAGAGAAGTTCGAGACAGGTGTATACGTTTACTGTTTACAATTGAAAACACCTGGGTCGTGGCCCATAGATGTGCCGTGCAGCCGAGCTGCTGGACCAGCATGCCACCATGTAGTCCAGGAAGGCTGGAAAACATTAATGCTGTTGAAAAGCTTTTTTAGGGATGTCCGATAATATCGGTCCGATATTAGCATAATTATGTAATATCTGTAAAACATCGTTATCGTTTTTTCCCACTGATAATGAAAACCCGATAACGCAATGCCTCGGTTTCCCCAAATGATGTATGAACTAAAAATAGTTATGGGGAAAAAAACGGCTGTATATTGAAGTGAAAGTCACTAGAGGGCAGCATTGTATCTTATTTAATTAATCTCATACTCATACAGTGGTTTGTACAGATAAATAAATATTACCAGGCCTGTATCGGTTGATATCGGAAATTAAGTGTTAGGACGATATCTGCATATTACTTAAAAAGAGGAAACAACAACATCGGGTTAAATCTCAAATGTATTCACCTGCCTGAACTTTTGCACAGCATACATGTGAAAATATATTGCCTATAACGCCGACCTTTGTTTTGTGCTGCAGTCAGGATGTGATCACACCGTTGTCTTCACTGGTGAAATTTATACGACTAATGTCAATCTCAGGGATTAGGGATTATAGAGACGGAGATGTTTGCTGTTTACGTTTTCAGTGGGAAACGTCTAAACTATCCTCCTTTTTTTGTTTGTTTTTTTAAATCACATTTTTCCAGTGGTTTATTTTCACAGTCAGTCACAGATAATCTGACATTTAAATCACGTTTCACCGCGGTCACCGAGTCCCACACGCCCGACTTTAATCCTATGTCAGTAAATGTTGGGACACTCTCTGTAATTCCTGTCAAAGTATCCACCTGTGTAGAGCCAGTCCTCGGCCTCAGTGTGAGGGTTGGTTCCCAGCTGGAACCACCTGAAGAAAACAAAAAAACCAGGAGGATTTTATAGATGTTTATGTTTATGTTTGTTTAATACGGTCTGGTTCTGAAGTGTTGTTTGGTTCTGACAGAGTTCACGTCGGTTTCGCGGTAGTTCGGTCATTTACTATGAATTGTTTTATTAGGTTTTTATCTTATGGGAGTTTTTAATTCAACTCCAAAATAAATTCAGCCATGTTTTAATTTAAATTTCAACGCTGCCCCTAGTGAAGGCATTGGTAAACTACGGCCCGAGGGCTGGATTAATCTGGCCCGCCAAACTTGTCGAAATTATATTATTAATTTATATTATCATTGTGTGTGCATAGATTATATTATTAATTTATATTATCATTAAGTGTGTGCATAGTGCAGTGGTTAGAATGCCTGCCTTGGAAGCAGAGTCCTGGGTTCGATTCCCAGAGGACTCTTGATTGATAATCCTCCTCTTGTAAGTCGCTTTGGATAAAAGAGTGAATAAAATCTTTTATTTATAAAACAAATGCAGTACCCACATTTCCCCAATAGATGGCGTAGAAAAAGCTTAAAGAGTTTTAGCATTTTAGCCTTTATGCTGACTTTCCTGTCATACACAAAGGCTAAAAACTGACCCTGTCAGACTGTAGGCCCCACTGTGCCCTAGTGGTTTACTGCAGGTATTGCATGTTTGCTGTTAGAACTTGATGCCCCCCCCCGACCCCCCCAGAGGATACACACCTAGTTGACCACTCGCTCTTGGAGCGTTCCCGCCGCACCGCCCGTTGTTTTTCCTCCAGCCGTTCTTTCTCTCTGCTCGCCGCATCTAGAAAACACAACGTTAGAAAGTAAACGACTCCGAACTTTAATTCCTGTCCGTGAGAAGTTCTGCAGCGAGGTCTGCGTTACCGATGTCTCCGTTCTCCATGGCGCGGATGTCGGGCCTCAGTCGGCTGTCTGTGGGCGCCACCAGCCTCTCCATGCCCGACTCCAGCTCGTTCAGAGTCATGGCGAAGCTGGTGAAGTTGTACATCTGCACAGGAAAAAAACAAAAACAGGCGTCCTGAAATTCACTGGGTTCTTAAACTAGGGTACGCAAACCAATCATGGTACATGGGCAGTACTACGTATGTAAGAAAATGTTGATAGACTGAAATATTGAGATATTTCATTTCATGATACCGTATAGACTGAAATATTGAGATATTTCATTTCACGATACCGTATATGATTTTCTATATCACTATTGATTTTTTTTCTCACCAATTCTCAGTCCAATATTCCTGGTGTTCATTTTCTTTTTCTTTTCTTTCTTCTCTAATGATTCCAAAGGTAATGATTTTCAATTTTTAATTTTTTTTGTGTGTTGACCACAGTGGAGAAACTGCAGAAGTTTGTGTGTGTGGGTTGGTACGTCTGCCTCGGGAGCAGAGAGTCCTGGGTTCGATTCCCAGAGGAACCACATGCTTGATAGTTGACTCTCCTCTGCTCAGTGGCTTTGGATAGAAGTGTCTGCCAGATGTGTGTGTGTGTGTGTGTGTGTGGTAAAGGTGGTGCTGTGACTGACCTGTGCCGAGTGAGAGGGTCTTTGTTTTATCCTCCACAATAACACACTTCCTGGTATCACAGTCACCGTCTCCTGAACTTCTGGGATCTCGTCTGCATCCTGACCTGCAGAGCTGTGTTCCTACACACACACACACACACACACTATCAGGAAGGCTGACTCAGACTGTCTCAGTGCACAGACCACATGCGTCCACAGACAGGACCACGTCCAACACATTTGTCACATGTCCGTCAAGCACCGACGCGTGTCACGACACGGCGGTAAAGCTCAGTGTCGGCAGCGACCGGTTCACACACTGCACTCTGAACATCTGAACACCAAACCAAACCAAACAACAGCAGCAGCAGCAGCAGCATCACACGACAGGGACCGAGGACACTTTGACCTTACCTTGGACTAAAGCCACTGCACGTGTTCGTGAGAGGAAAAGAAACCGTTTAAGAAAATATTAAAAATTCAAATTTTGTTATCGACGGAACACAGCCACAGGTCAACCGCCGCTCACCTGTTTGGTCTTCTTGGGGTCTCCTCCTGACTTCCTGTAGGCCTCGTAGACCTTGGGGTCCACACTGTAGATGCACTCTGTCCACTTCCCGTAGATCACACAGCGCTTTTTCTTACTGGTGTCAGAGCAGAGAGACGTACGACACTGGGTCAAAAACTGGGAAAAGTGAACGAGCGCTCGACGGTTCAGAACCTCGGGTTCTCACCTCACGTCCTGGATGTAACCTTCGACTTTGTGCAGCTCTTTCCCGAACATCCCACACGACTTGAAGTTTAACACACACTTATCTCCTGTGCTGCGAAGACAAACATGGAGGAAAGAACGAAAAGCACTGGTTTGATTTTTTTTTTTTTTTAATACTGCAGTGGTTCCCAAAATAGGGGTCGGCCCCCCTGAAGGGCCCAGAACTATGGCAGGGAGGGGAGGCAGGAAGGACAAATTAATTTTAATTATAGAATTGACATTTGAATGAAGTTTGTTAAGAGTTAAGAAACTTACAGTGTTTTAAATAAAGTTCAGAGGCAAACTAGGGTCCGTGGACCAGATACGGCCCGCTGGGTTTTCTAATCCGGCCCACCACCACTGGTACAGTGTGTGGTAAACACTGATGTCAGTGGTGGCAGACTCTCTAATCTCGTACATTTTGTTCATATTATTTCAACATCCGACCTGTGATATTTCGACATCCGACCTGTACCAAACCGGCCCGACGGTCACATTTTGAACCTCATTTTGGCCCGTGAGCCAAAGAGTTTACCCACCCATGCTGCAGTGGATTATATGTATACACATTATTGTGTGTCAGTCTGGGTGACTGTGGTGTTGAATGCGTTGATTGGTCGGTGGGCTCCTTCTACACACACACACACACACCTGTGGTTGACTATCTCCACCACTCCATACTGCTCCAGCCACAGTTTCCCCAGGATGATGTTGTGCACACAGCACACTGGGTTCGTCCAGGTGAAAACATCTTTATGTCTGGATGGAAAAAAAAAAAAATAGAAATTACTGAAACAAATTCAACAGTCAGCCAATAGGTGGCGACAATGACAAACTTTTTTTTTTCTGGGGACTCATATTTCAAAACTCACAAACATTTGCAACATTATTCGTAAACTCCTAGCTAACATTCGAGATGACCCAAAAAAAAAATCTTGCAACCCACCTGAGGGTCGTGACCCAGTCTTTGGGAAACAATGTTTTTTTTTTAGCTAATATCAGGCAACATTGAGCGGCTGTGACCTCCTTTTCCTACTGTATTTCCTTCAGATTTTAACCAGACAGAGTAATCTGATACTGAGTATCAGAAAGTACTGCTATCTGCAGATATTCCAAGGTTGCAGTACTATTATCAGTAGTTATCGCAAGCTTTTAGTTAGCTATTAGCTTTGACAAAGCTGTTAGGTTTTGACAAATGTTTATAGTGAAATACATCATCATCGTGTGTGAGTATAACAGACAGTAAATACTGCAGTGAGTACTGCAGTAACCACTCACTTCAGTAACTCCAGAGTCATGGTGCCTTTGGGCTCAGCCTCCACACTCTTCCCCCAGAACTTGAGTTTAGGATAGATGGAGCCGTGGAACTCAAACTCGTGCTTCAGTGACTGAGCGTGAAAGGCGCTGACGGGAGGATGGTGGCTCACCTGCTCCGAGATCAGTCTGTACCCCTCGTCCTCCCTTCAACACAAATCAAATCTCAGACAAATCTTTCCTCTCTAATTAAACGTCAACGGTCCGTCAGCGACAGCGACTCCGTACCGTACGAGCTCGTAGGTCTCCCCGAGTAACGGGTTGAAGGGTTTTCCAGTTCGCTCCCACTGAGATGCCACGGCTGAAACAGCGAAGGCTGCGACGACCTGTCACCGGAGACACCAACAGAATCACAGCCGCAGTTATTAACAATCATCACATGTAAGTTGAATGCTTCAAAAATTTTAATTAAAAATGTTAGTTTGTTTGGCCATGTACAGTGAATTTGCAAAAGTCTTAGGCAGGTGTAAACATTTACTAAACCAGTGAATCTGTTAAAAAATAAAATAAATCAATACACCAGGGGGAGGAATATGCAGCACCTGGTATCAACCAGTGAACTAATGATCTCACTGTTCAACAAAAACAACAACAAAGAACTGTTTTACTGACGTTGACAATAATATTTCTGCACTAAATCATATCTTGTCCTGTTCATTGTGTTCTACTGAGCAGACTTGTTCTAGATTCCTCCGTAGGCTCTACCTGCAGGCGGTCTACGGAGTCAGACAGGGTGCAGGCTTTATGAATGAGGTGAGTGTGTTCCATGTACTCTGATATTCTCTGCAGAAAACTCAGCGGCTCATTGAACTCCACTGGCATGGCTATCTTGGACAGTTCCTGTTAGGACACGAAGCAGAAAAAAAAAATAGTTTTTATATATGTCGATGTTTAAATATTGCACATTACAGCATGTTGATGACCAAGTCGTACCGGCTCAAACCGAACCGTTCCATGTTCTAGTACTCACCATGCCGATGCATTTCTTCAGGATACTCCACAGGCTGAAGTTGTTCCTGGAGATCATTTCACTCGGGAGCGTTTTCCTGGAGCACATTGGAACCAAAGTAAGTGTTTTGTGAGTTGTTGTGACAGGAAACGGTTCCAAAAAGACTAAAATGTCCTCCCGAGGTATGACCACAGACTGCAGCTACACAGACACGTTCACAGCAGCCGGGCTAATGGTCTGACATGTGAAAAATGTGGCTGCACCAGACTGATCTGTCCACACATGTGAAAACACGTATGACGTAGCACCGACCCCAGGTTCACACACACACACACACACACACACACACGTTCTGTTGAGAGCATTAGCTTGGACTTTCTGAAAAAAAAATCATCTGAATGTACCTTTAATCATATATTTTAATGTTAGGTGGTTGGAGTAGTACAAAGTATTTTATCTCTTATTTATTTTGAAAGACTTTTTAGGAGTACTTTATACTTTTACTCAGGAATTTAGTCCAAAAAAATGTGTCCCTTACACCAGTAGAGTTGTGTGTTTTCTATGACAGACATTTTTATTGAGTAATACTCTGACCAATGAAGTACACTGTGTACTTTGTACACATTGATTCCATTGTTCCACAAAACGTACTGCACATGGATGAAGAAACACCTGAAGCTCTTCTTCAACAGCTCTGACTTGCTCTTTTTTTTTTTTTTAGGTTTTTTTTTTTTTTTGTAATCTGCTGTCACCTAGTGGACGATTATTTAATTGTTCTGCCTGTCACTGTGGTGTTGATGAATGTGTTGTGACTCGCTGCTGGAAACCCTTGCATCCCAACGGTCCCTCCCTTCATGAACCCCTCCCCGCACTCTCCATCCATCTATCCCACCCATGTCGGACTGTCTGTCCCACACTGTGGTGTCAACCGTATTTGTCCCCCTGTAAAAGTCCTCACCTGCGCCGTCCCAGATGTTTGGCGTCAGTCGCGGGGACATCTTTAAAACTGACCTCATATGAATCATCTGACTCCAGCCCTAAAACACCGGAAGACAATGGTCATGAGAAAAAAAATTATTAAAAAAAGAAAAAGAAAAACAAGCCGGAGATTCTTTGTGAACAGGAGTGAAGACCCAGATGTGTCCGTTTCTCACCTGTCTCTGCGTCGTAAAACTCTTCCTCGCTGTTCATGTTGAGCAGAGAAAAAAAAACTAAGGATCACACTGAGTCCATGTCTCCGGCATCGACCCCGCAACCACTCTGTGTCACAGACACACACTCACGGTACCTGCAGGACACACACACACACAGGGTCTGTGATGAAAACAAGAAAACATCCAGCAGGACAGCGTTAGCCGCCTGATTAGCATTTTAGCATCACTGCTGATATTTAGTGTCAGCGGAATAAAACTAGGTAGTTGGAATTTAATTTAGTTTAAAGTTAGCGACGGAATCGAGAAGAAACCCGACACCAAGTCTAACACACATTTTAAGTGAAAGTACCCGTACATAAATGTGAAACTTCGGGGGGGAAAAGCACCATAAACAGGGACAAAGCTGCCCGTAGCGCAAACCGGAAGTGGGCGGTAAGGACACGGTGATTGACAGGTCAATCCGCCAGTCAGATCGCACCCTCGACAGCCTTGAATTTGGAAAGGGCAGATGGTCAGACTCAAATTTATTATTACTATTGTTGTTGTTGCAATTGTTACCACATATTAGAGACTAATTTCGGGCGTATATTAACAAAAGTTTACGAAAATAAAGTCGTAGATTTGTGGAAAATGTTTTCATTAATGAAAAAGTGAAACGTCAGCATCTCATTGTCATTCGCATCAGAACGTTGACAAAAGATAGAAACTTTATACATTTATAAAAAAAAGTACCGCGCGGCCTCCGTCCCGTTCTACCGGATATCTTTAATTATTCATTATTATTTTATCTTTTATAGTTTTTTTTACCTTATTCTGTGACTGTAAACTAACGAACTTCGGTTTAAATCCATCGGTCTCTTCACTCGCCCTCACCCTGTTGTTCACCGCCGCATCCTTTCAACTCTTTGAACGTCAATGATGATGCAACAACATGTCACTGAAACTGCGGGGACGTGTTCGGGTTAGTTTGGATGCTGGTTAAAGCCAAGCACTTCTTTATCTGCCACTAGGTGGCATTAAAACGCATTCTTTTTCAGTGGATATTTATAATAATAACGGCATTAATAAATGATTATATACATGTTTGATGATTCACAATGTGATACAAGTTTTTATTTATTTATTTATTTATTAATTAGCTGATGCAGAGATTTAACCATCCAGACACAAGTCAATGTTTCGCTTTTATATAAAAAAGGATTGTTGTTTCTGTTTTGGAAATAAAACATTAATTCTGTTTTGAAAGTAAACAAAAAGATCAATCCCGTTTCAGAACTCATCGATTTCGAATTATATGCAATTATACAAAAATGTGAATTTTGCATTAAAGGCGAATGTTGTTGTTTTTTTATAAAATTTTATTTTATAAATTATAACATGATTGTTAAATCTAAATCTGTTCAAGGACTAATATATGGAAGTAATTTTTTTAGCTAATTCATTTTCACCGAGGGTTGGGCACAGGCTTTTATTTTGAAAGGACGACCATAAACTGGGGATAAAAGCGTGTCTTGGTGCGCGGTGGGGAAGCTTCAGAGTTGAGGAGAGGCAGCTGGATGTCAGACACACTTCACCGGAGCAAAAAATCTCTGGGTTTATTGATACAATAATGAAGAAAATCAATTTTCATTAAAGCAACAGAGAAAAGAAAGACGACGATTTCACACACTCTGCGTTTTTATATCAGTATTTGCGGAAAGTTGGTGATGAACAGAGACGAAGACAAAAGCGCAAACGCTGCGCTCCGCGGCCAGAAACAGAGCAGGACTCAGACGGTGTGTGTCAAAAAGAAGAAGAAAGAAACTCCGAGCGGAGTCAGCGCCAAGGAAACGCAGTCAGGTGTCTGGAATTTTAGAGAGAAAAGGTCAAAACCCGCAGGGACGTCCTCGGGGAGAGTTTCCTGCAGCGGCAGCGCGGAGAACCGCAGGAAACTGTCCGATGCCAGCAACGCTTCCGAGGACACGAGCAAAGACTCTGGCTGCGTCTCCGGGAAACTGTCCTCGTCCGACTGCAGCTCGGAGACATCAGAGTGTCCCTCAGAGAGCAACAAGCGCGACTCCCCAACCGGTGACCGCGACTTAATCTGGATAGACGGAAAGGCTTACGTCAAGCCGGGCAACCCGTGCGCAAAGACAGGCAGGGGGAGCTGTGCGGTCCAGCCTGATGCCGCCGGAGGGAACCTCGGTTTGAGCAACTGCTCGGGGACCTTCGTGGAGCTGATGATGGGGGAGTCAGCCGAGGACCTGCTCCGGGAGGTGGAGGATTTACGATCGGAAAACGAGTATCTGAAGGTAAGTTTGATTTCATGTTTAAACTTCTGTTGCGTTCAGGGTCAATCTGACCACATACCATCACGGGGTCATCAGAGTCTCTGAGTGATAAGTACAACAGGACTGTTTAACAACCGTCTGGCCTCTAGGGGGCTCTAGATATTCTTCGGATTCATTTTTTGTTTGTAGTAAAAACACAAACCGACGGTGTTTTCTGTGTCAGGACGAGTTGGAGGAGCTCCGCTGTGAGATGCTGGAGATGCGGGACATGTTCCAGGAGGAGGAGATGTTCCAGCTGCAGGAGCTGCGGCTGCAGCTCGAACAGGCCAATAAGATGTGCCGCATCCTGCAGTACCGCCTGCGCAAGGCTGAGCGTCGGAGCATCCGAGTGGCTCAGACCGGACAGGTGGACGGGGAGCTGGTCAGAAGCCTGGAGCACGACATCAAGGTCAGATGGATACTAGGTCCTCCTCACCCACTCCTCACCCTTCTCACCCTCGTTTTTCTCAGATGGATACTAGGTCCTCCTCACCCCCCACCCCCCTCACCCTCCCCCTTCTCACCCTCGTTTTTGGGAAACCGTGTGATAAAAGATTTTCCCCAAAACAACTTTTCCTTTCACTGATTCACCCTCTCTCTCTCTCTCTCTCTCTCTCTCTCTCTCTCTCTCTCTCAACGCTGGCGTGAAAGTGAACTTTCCACTGACATTAGTCACAGGAACTGTTGGTTGTCCCTGCACACTCAGCAGTGATGAAGGACTGTAATCAGGGCTGTAAAATTCTCCTCGCTGCTAAAGTCACGCCACAAAAATGTCATTAGCTCTAAACCTCTTCATCCTCCCTCATCCTCCTCCTCCTCTTCATCCTGCTGATATTTTTAAAACATCAAGGTGTAATTTTGTGGTGGCACAGTCATAAAAGCACAGGGATCTTTATCAGAGCCACTGAAGGTCGGTTCTGCCTCAGAGTGTGGAGACCAGACTGTGACGTTCTTGCGGTGATGAAGGATTCCCAACAGCTGAAGCTTCACCTCCTCCTCTTCGTCACTCCTGCCGCAACTTCTCCTCCTAAAGTTTCTCTGCCTCAGATCCACTGACTGTTACAGAGCACAAAGTGAAGTCAAACAAAACTTAGCTCATGGCACTGGGTCCTCAAAGTAGGGGTCGCGGAGCTGTCGCAGGGAAGCACGGTGAAGTCAATGAGTGAGATCTGCCAAAAGATCTGAAGGTGGATTCAAGTTCAGTTTTAAAGCCTGCTGGGAATGGTGTGTGTGTGGGGGGTGGGGGGGAAAAGCCACCGAGGCTGCTGGGAAAATATTCTTTGTGAAACTCCATCACATGACGACAGAGACAGGAAACGTAATGACAACGATAACAAAGACAGCGTAGACCACACGCTGCAGGAGGAAACTGAGCCACAAAGAGGCAGACTTCTTTGATCCCGATCCTCTGGGAGCGAAGCTGCCGTTCTTTTGTCTGCCTCCGGGCGGAGACTGTGTTCTGATGATGAATGAAAACCACAACACGCTGTCGTTTGCTTCGCTCGCAGGTAGCCAAGAGCGTGTCGCTGCGCTTGTACAACGAACTGGAGGCGGTGCAGAAGAAGAACTCCCGCCTGGAGTGGACCAATGAGGCGCTGAGTGAGAAGATTCAGCAGCTGGAGGTGGTCAAACAGGTCCTCCAATCAGAGGTGGAGAAAAGCAGAGAGGTAAGACGTCACGTTCTTCATCACAGTTCAAGAACAGCTGATGTTTTGTTCCTCGTGTTCTTTGAACCTCCCTGTGCAGGAAAACAAATGTTGTTGTAAAACGACAAAAGGTTTGTTTTTAATTCTCAGCTTCTAAAGAGACAAAGTTCAACTGTGATTCAAATGTGGTTAAAGGTCAAAGGTGAACAGTGGTCTAAAACTTGGGTCAGAGACTTAGGGCTTTGGAACTGGTCTGGAATTAGCGTTAGCATGTTAGCAAACAAACGTACTAGCTAATTCGCTGAGTCACCGTTAGTACTGGAGTAAAAAGGAACACTCAACTTCCACCTAAATTTTCATAAATAAATATTAGCGTTAGCATGTTAGCAAACAAACGAACAGGCTAATCCACTGAGTCAGCGTTAGTACTGGAGTAAAAAGGAACGCTCAACTTCCACCTAAATTTCATAAACAATTAATGAACATATTTGGGGATGTCCGATTCTAACTCTTTGCCGATATCTAATGTCTGATTACGATATCAACCGATCCTGATATATGTAGCTGTTTCCTCCCAAAACTGTAGTAAATGTCACAGGACCACAAGAGATTCCAGCATATTTGGTGAAACCCAGGAGTTGATCGAGACGATCGTATCAGCTGACCGACATCCCTGATCATATATATGTTTTTTTTAAGTGTTCTAGAATGTTCTAGAATGTGATCATGTGACTTGTTCTTCTCCAATCAGCTGTTTGTCACCGTCCTCACACCAGGAGAGCGTATTAAACCCTGTTGATGCTCAGCTTTAATTGGCCGTTAGTCGTCTGTGGGGACCGGACGTCGACTCCAAAAGTCTTTAGGTTGACGTTAACTGACACAGAAACCCAGTGACGACCTTGGTCAGTCCTTCATCCCACTGGTCAGGAATGTGAACCTCCACCCGTCGCAGCCAGCTGTCCCCACTGATGTTAGGAGACACATGACCCTGGTGGAGATCAATGATACGACTGGGGGGTCAGCCTGCAGCTGCCCCCTGAGCCTGGGGGTGGGGGTGGTGGTGGGGGCACAGCTGAGAGGATGGGGGAGAGAGAGAGAGAGAGGGAGAGAGAGAGAGAGAGGGATTACAGATATAGAATCTCTCACTCTTTTCATTCTGGCTAATTCTGGATCAGTATGTATTTATATGGACATTCATGTGGACGGGTGTTGGTGCTGCAGCACACTGAACCACAGCGCTGCCCCCACATCCTTACAGTGAATGAGTGGATCTTAGTCTTCTGCCCCCTGTGGTGGTTTATGTCATTTTAGTGAAACAGACGTCAGTACTGAAAGTAGTGTTTTATTAAAATATTTTTTTAAATATCACTCACACTGAACACTGCTCAACTGAACGTAGGATTTTTCTTGAATGCGTTTGTGTTTTTATCTCCGATCGCTTCAGTCCATGTCGTAGTTCGTGTTTCATGTTTCCTCAGCTGTTGTTGTGTTCTCCCTCAGAACACTCTGAAGAAGAAAGGAAGTTCCAGATCCACAGGCGTCAAGGCCGAGAGGAGGCTGAGTCACCATTCAGAGGTCGGCAAGAATTCACAAATATATACAGACATATATATATATTTATAAACTATTATTTACTGCAAATACTTTGCCTCATTCATCTATACAGCAGTGAAAGGCAGAACTGTTATACTCTTCCACTAGGTGGCAGCTGATGGCTATAAAAACTTAAAAAAAGAATAAGAAAATCTTTGTGTCTTTCTTCAATTCCTGCCAGTATGTCAGTGATGTGTTCAACCAAACAGGACTAAAATAAAACCAGAAGATCATTATATTTCACTACAAATACTTTTCATGAGTTTTTTTTTTGTGTTTTTTTTGTTGTTGTTGTTGTTGCTGCGTCCTTTTCTCTAACGTCGTTTGCCTCCTGCAGGACGACAGCGCTGACCTCAGGTGCCAACTCCACTTTGCCAAAGAGGAATTAGCCGTCATGTGTAAGAAGCTAGCCAAACTGGTGTCTGAGGGCGAGGACATGCGTGAGGAGCTGGCTAGGTACCAATCAGCCTACGGCGACGTAGATACCGACCAATCACCTGGCGACAAACACGGTTCCGTCCACAGCAGGGAAGCAGAGGTCAAAGTTCACCTGAAACTTGTGGAAGAGGAGGCCACGCTGCTGAGCCGCCGCATCGTTGAGCTGGAGGTGGAGAACCGTGGCCTGAGAGCGGAAATGAGCGATCTGAGAGAGAAAACCGGAGGAGGTGGAGGAGAGGAGGAGGAAAAACAGGAAGCTGTGGAGGAGGAGACGACGGCAGCATCAGCACCAGGAGAGGACGAAGAGGAGAGGGAGGGGGAGAGAGAGGGGGAGCAGTGTTTCAAGACAGAGGTCAAGGTTCATGGACAGGAAACAGGAAGTTGTCAAGGCGATGCTGAGATCTTCAGTGAGGGGCCGATCGCCGCCTGTCATGTGACCCAGGAGCTTCTCGTTGTCGAGGCTTTTCCCAAAGCAATGACGGCGAAAGACCACGACGCCCTAGTGGCTCTCAGAGAGCACTGCTGCATTTTAAATTCAGCCATTCACTTCCTGACAGCGCCATTGAAAACCAGCTGCTCTTCGGCGCCCTCCTGTGTGTTGACCTCTCCACCACACGTGGCCCTAAATGGCAGGAAACCAGGGTTTCTACTCGAGTCCTTGGAACTGGTCCGGGACATGCTGCTGGTCTTCAGTGGGAGGGTGGAGACGTTTCTGACAGGACAAGATTCAGGCAAAGACTCCGGACCCGTGGGCGATCCCTCCGCCCGCTGCACCCTGTCTGACAACACTGCAGACTGTGACGTAGACCACAACGACGCCAAAGAGTCACCGAGTGAACGGGAAGACGTCGACGAAAGAACGACGTCGTCGTCTCTTCCCCACAGCTGCAGGAACTCCAAAATTCAACTGTACCTTCAGATCCTGTGGATCCTCCACCAGTGGTACCATGGAGCCGTCCCTGAGGTGGAGGCAGACCAGGTGAAAACCAGCTGTTTCAGTCAGATTCACCTGGAACTTTTCACCATAACTGATGAAATAACTTGACATTTCAGGGTAAAAACCGAACCGTGTCCGTGTTACGAGGGTTGTTGCAGACGCTGGAGTTTCAGGACGAACCAATGGAATCAAAGGTGGCAGAGGTGAGGATAAAACTGAGGGGCGCTCCCCGACCCGTGACCTTCCCTTCAAGATTTTTGCGATTAATTAATATTTTACAGTGGAATGTTGTCTTTGTCTCCCTCTGCTGCTCAGTGTGCTGACAGTGAAGTCATTCATGGTGAAGATGAAGCTGAGAGGTCAGTGATTGGTTCATTATCTTTATGATGTCACTGAAGTCCAGTCTTACAAGTCTGTGTTTTTTTTTCTCACCCCTTCTGCAGTTCAAAGGGGAAACAGCAGAGGCAGCAGTTCCCACTGCAGGGCTCCAAGAAGAAGAACTGGGTCTACCTGAACCAGGATGCGGCCCAGCTGGACCAGGTGGAGCCCGTGAAACTGTGGGATCATCCAATCATGCCGCAGAGTTTCCCGGACTTTGATTCTGAGCAGACGTTTACGAAGAGAAGTCACACCGCTCCCGAGAAGTCGGCGTTCCGCATCTACTACAGCCCGCCGTCGGCCCGCCGGGTCCAGCTGTCCCAGCTGAGGCACAGCCTGACCACAGACGGGGAGTCGGTCCACACCGCCTCCCCCTGGTGCACGCCGCTCACCTCCCTCTCACAGCTGTGTTTGGGTTCATCCACCAACCTGAGCGACGACGTGAAGGAAATGACGGCCAGCTGGAGGAGAGCGGTCCACGGCGGGTCGCAGGAGGCGGAGCGCAGGTCGTCGGGGCGGTGGGTGGACGTGGTCAGTTCCAGCACTCAGACCCACACGAAGCCTCAGATGGTGAGTGTGGGTCTGCAGACGGAGGGCACGGTCGTGGGGAGAGGTCCGTCTCGGCTCCTGGTCCCCACCCGCTCTCACCACACCTCCGCCTCCCTGGACGGAGGAGCGGGTCGAGCAGAGAGGCTCAGAGCCTCCACCTCTTCACCCAAACTTTACCACAGACACTCTGGTCCTCCATGCTTCAGTCTGAGCTCCTCCTCCTCCTCCACCTCCTCCACCTCCTCGTCATCCTCCACTAAAGACCGAGCATCGTGGACCCTGAACCAGGAAAACTCCTCCCCTGGACCCACCTGGTCCAAACAGAGGAGTCAGAGACAGACGGCCGGCTCCCCCAGCCGCTCCAAGCCCCCCACCAAACCCCCAGGTCCCAACTGTTACGGTGTGGTCACGGAGTTTTTACGACGAGTGAGCGGCCGGGCGGAGAAACCAGCGCCGGGGTCAGAACCGAAGACCAGGAGCGGCTTGAAGAACCTGGAATGCGCTCCGACAAGAACGGCTCCGGCCGCCTCGCTGCAGAGGACCGACAGCGTGACCAGGATCGTCAACCAGAGGTTCATGAAGAGAGAGGAGGTGGGCCGAGCCCAGAGGGAGGGGAGGAGCGGCGGCGGCGTGAACGCCAGCGTCAGACCCGGTGTGAGTCTGACTTCAGAGGTGAGGGTTCTACTCCGGGAGCTTCAGCTTCAGCTGCAGGAAAATAGATGATATTTTTATGTTTGTCTGAAAAAATTAATCTCCTTCAGATCTGACAGGAAACGTGTTGTAAAAATAAATGGATGGAATTTTTGAGCTACTCTTGGATTCATTGTAATTTATAGAATCCTCCAGTTTTTTAACCTCTTTTTCTGGTCTCTTCTGTCAGGATGGACCCGACCGCTGCAGCTCCAGGAGCACTTTGACCTTTTGCTTCACTCGTCCGTCTCCTTCCACCAGGAGACAGGCGTCAAACCAGAGCAAAAACCAGAGACACAGATATTCACATCCGGCTGCAGCTGCAGCTGCCAACTGTGAGACTTGACGACAGCAGCAGCAGCAGCAGCAGCAGCAGCAGAACTGATGTGTAAATATATGTATATATATATTTAATGTTATATTTTTGGTGCAATAGAAAATACTCTCCCTCATCGTCACAGTTAAAACAGTCTAAAGTACACATATTTACAGTTTGTGAGTTTTTACTGATATGACTGATGACTTTGCACATTTGTAGTGTGTTATTTTAATCATTGTATTTTTTAGACGTGGTTTTTCTCCAACACGGGAACTTTTGATATTTTCATTCTGTTCTTCTATCGATGTCGTCAAGTTCTGAGTATCTGAGTCTAAATTCATTCCTGGGTCAGAGTTTGGAGTTGAATATTCATATTTTCACATTATTTTGAAGTACTACCTGAGTACTTGTGTTTATTTATGTAGACTTTTCTAATATTGTCAGATCAGATAACACCACATTACAAACAGAATTAAACTACAGACCTGGAAACTAACTGTGTATATAAATAACCATGTCTTCTGTGTAGAATGAAGGCCACAGAAACGTGTTTACTCTCGGCTAATAAGCTGCTTAACCTCAGTAGTTTATGTCACATGCTTAAAAGGGAAAAGTAAGTACAAAGAAGTTAATAGGATGAGATTCCTCCCGCTGTGAGAATCATTGCCTCCCCCCGTCCCTCCCCCATCACCACCACTCTTTACAGTACGTCTCCTCACGTCCATTTTTCACATTCATCAACGCTCTGTTTTCACCCCTTTGTTGACGTCGTCATCGATTCTAATAAAGGAAAATGTGATTTCCTCGGACGGAGCCGATCAGCTGACCGGCGTCAGCGGGGCTGCAGCTGTGGACCAGGTGACCGTGGGTGGAGTCACACAATCCCACAGTGTCACGTTTCTGCTCCCAACATGTGTTCACGGCCTCTGCTCCCACACGTGTGTAGCCCACATGTAACAATGTGGGTTGGAGTCTTTAAATCACTCTGACCCAGAAAAGAGAAGAACCAGAATAAAAATAGACAGAAATTGGTTTCTTTTATTCAGTCGTCCACAACATAGAGTCACATATGGTGTGTACTTCAAATGCAGATCAGGGTATTTCTTGACATAGTATTTTTTACTTTGGTGTATTTAAGTCTCTATGGTTTGTTTTGCATGCCAAAATAAAGCTCTTAAGAAATAAACTAAAATTAATTAATTAAGTCTGTTTTAATTATCATTATTACAGATATTAGGTTGTGGGTGAAATTCCTCAGAAAATCCAGGAAAATATCTAAAAATAAAAACAAGCAAAATGAAAAATAAAAATATATATTTTTTCTTTAGGATTTAATATTTGTTTCTAAATGTTCTCTAATGTTGTCGTGTTTTAATAAAAATCTAAATATACCAGTCATGTGTTTAATTCTTCAGAACCGATGAAGTCCGTGTGCTTCAGATTAAATCAAATTATTTTTCCTCTGGAAAATTCCCTCCGTTTGTCAGACGTTATAGTGCAGAACCCCTCCTGGCCACTAGAGGTGCCACAAATGTAGCTCCAATCTATGTATCCGCTGTTTTACCTT